CATGACAAGTCTCTAAGCTGACAATATTCACCTCGTTCGAAGGCATCGATGTAGCACTTGGAGAAGGACGGCCTTTACGCTCGAGCGCACGTCGTTTTGTTTGACATTGCTCCTCAGTGTGGTTGCGTTTCAGACAATAACCACACGTAGCACCGGGAGTTCGAGGATACTCTTGTCATAGTCTCGGACCTTCTGCTCTCTTAGGAATAGTTGAGAGTGCTTGTCCTCTACGATCTCGTCTCTTCTTGAAGCATTCAGACTCTAGATGGCCTTCCTTACCACAATAACCACATTTCCTCTGCGTCTTGGCAATGGCGCTCACAACTTTTTCCATCCATTCAGGAGATAGCCAAGAATTGACATTTGATGAGGATGATGATACCGTAGGCTCCACGTCGTCACCATTTTGTTCATAAGCTGCTGCCGGTCTTTCCATATTACCAATAGCGGCCAGCTCATGTTGCATAGCGTCTTGCTCTGGTCGTTCAGATTCATCGATGAAAGGATCCGACATGATAAATTGCGCCTTCTGCAACGCCTTCTCCAGGGTGGGGGGATTGGCATTCCGAACCTTACGTGCAAGTTCGATTGAATTTCCACGAAGACCACGAATGAATGCCATGAGAACCACCGGTTTGAGCTGTTGCTCCTGCATGTCTGGATAGGCTCGATGTGCTAGGCGTCTAATATCATTCTGGTAGGTCAGAAGGGTGACCCTTCAAGGGTCTCATTGCCATAGTCTAGTACTCGCTGATGGAGCTGTTCACCACACTGTATCTGCGTAGCCACCGACAACTTCTTAGTGAGATTATCGACAAGCTTCTCCAGAGTATACTTATTATCATGATACATCACATGTTGAGTCGAAACGGTCATGTTCGCCACGGTTACTGATATATCATGGCGAGCGAAATAATCACCCCCGCGAACCGTGCAGATTCCTTACGCAACACAACAGAACCACTGAGTTCTCTCTTAGAAATGATTCAAACTTCATGGTTCATGGCGAAATATGACCACCCTTGCATGTCAAAACACGTGCGAGTCGGTCATCAACAGATCTCGTGAGTGCAAGGACCTCATCCGAAGAAATAGCCTTTGCAGCTTCCTGGATACCCCTCCACAGAGACTCGAGGTCGTTAAACTGCCTCCCTCCAGAGTACAACTTACTAAGACGGGCCTACTACACGTGAACAAACTCAAACAAGCTCTCACTTCTTCAAGATGCTCCAATACCGTTCAATCGGATTTATATCCGGCGAATTGGGAGGCCAATTCATGAGCTTTCTGCCGGTAAATCCTTTCTTCTCGAGGTAGTCCTTGGTAAACTTGCTGGCATGGGAGGGGCATTGTCTTGCATGAATATCAGGTCACGCTTGGCCACCCTCCCGAGCTTCCGATACCATGGGAAGAAGCACTGGTCGAGAAGTTTAGTGTACCTGCGTGGCTCACTACTGCATCATCCCAGCCGTAGGCTCTATCTCACTCTTGCGAGATCATCTTCACTCCTTGTTGGACTCTCACGGGACCGACGACCTTCCCTTCGATGATCCCGGCTCAAATCATGACGCCACCTCCTCCCTGTTGACGCTTGGATCGGCTCGGACAAGCGGTACCATCCATAATCCACCCTCGGGCCCACCCATCGGGGCCGTCCAGCGTCGCTCGTGACTCGTCCGTCCACAGCACCTTCCGGAAATCCGTCTTCATGTTATCCTTCGCCCATCGCACCCTTTTCTCCTTATGGGTTTTCGTCAAGGAAGGCCTGGGGTTGGCTTTCAAGACCTTCCCTATGCTCTTCAGCACCTTGCACCTGGTGCTTTTGCTCCCTTTACTCACCCCCGCCGCGTCAAACAACTCCTTACTGGTGGCTACTGAAGTTATAGCCATCTCTCTCTTGAGTTTTCTCTTCTCCCGTGGCAACCCTTACAGATGACATAACGCACACTCTATTAGAGCCATGTGATAGCATACCGCTTTACTCTATAAACTCTCGGAAGCATAGATGGTGACGAGTTTCCTTAGTCACGCTTGGGATGCTGATGGTTTATAGGAACAAAATTATCTAATACATAATAGCAGACGAAGTCGAGATAATTCAGTGTCTTGAAGGAGGACTCCCAAGTTATTGAAGGGTTCACAACTTATGTGCCGCGAGAAAGATCGACATATCTGTCACACAAATCAGAAAGGGATGCTCGTTGGCTGCGGAAACTACAGACTAGGGCAGGGATAAAGAGCGTCTGCATAGTCGCGCTCTGTGCTCTTGAAACACAGACTACCATCGGCCTTCAGTACCCCAATCTGAGGAAGAAGAATCTTTGTAGAAGATATCCATAGGAGGGATGATGCTTGCACTATGAGCTCTGCGGGGTCAACTTCTGCCAACTGTGCTGCACAAGAAAATGTTTTCGATAAAGTAGTTGACCGTGAACTGCGTTATCGAAAACATTTTCTTTTCCCGACAGTCTGTCCACGTGAACTGTTCACGCGGACAGACTGTCGGGACAGTGAAGATCACTGTAGAGTCTGCCAGACCCAATGAGTCGAGCCATCAGAATATCTTGAGTGAATCAATGCGGATGGATCGCACAGAGTGAAGCCAATGAGCAAAGGCGCATGAAATGCCAACAAGATTCGATCTGGTCTTGGGCAGTCCTTGGTTAGATTCGCACGCGTGATTCACGCGGCGTGAACACCTCCCGCACGAGGATCTCTCATGCTATATGTTAGCACTGCTGACATATAGCATGAGAAATCCGTAACTCAATAATTTGCCAATCATAAATTCGGAATACATCTCCCCCCGAGAACGACCTGGAAATATATCGCTCTAGCCTGCTGGACTGCTGTTTGTCGCGTGACCATCTTGCATCTTCCATGTACTCTCCTCATTACCAAGACAGGTCTCGTGACCCTACCAGAAACACGCCTGGATGTGCATGCGTACTGGACAGCTCAACCCTCATTTAGGTATGTTTAGCTGGACTAGGGCGTGCGATAACATGCTAAAGCGAGAGCCACCTTGATCTTAGCCTGAATTCATAGAAGCATGCGGGAAATGGGCTAGCATGAAGAATTTCCTCTGTAATTTCCAATATTTGCGGTATTTCCGCAGAAAATTAGCATGGGCGTGACCGATTTTTACTTTTGACAAACCCTGACTACTCGTCACCATAGTCGCCTTCGTAACGAGCGATAAAATTATTGGAGTCCAACAATTGGACCAGGAAAAATTCATGGACCCTCGCATTGTGTGGATGCGCGAGCCTCACGTGTGCGGAAGCCGACAGCTATGACCGTCTTGTTTTGCGACGCACAGCAACGACTCGCCTACACATCTTGGACCACCAATGCACAACCTCGTTAACGTCCCACTGTTGGTCTGCCTTAACATGGCCTTGGCTGATTTCACGGTCTGGAGGTGGGCCCGTGATGAGGGAGTGTGACTTACATCGTGTGATGAAGGGACTCCTTTCAGAACCGAAGCCCTCGGACCAATCCCGACAGCGGATAACGATGACGCTGCCAAAGGTCAGTCATATTGATTCTGGCACAGCTCGAAGCCTGAAATCGATCTCAATTGTTGTGCTCATTTCAGAGGGTGGGGAGTATGAGAAGCCCGTAGGTAAATGCACCATTAATGATTCTGGGTTTGTGGTTGGTTGTCGATGCGCCACTTCCAGCATTCTGTGCTACGGTGTAATACTGAATGACCCCTCTCACTCAGATATCCGTCGCATGGTTGTACAAACTCTCAGTTCATCTTTTCTCTTTCAGAACCGTGGCACTGGAGTGGTCTATGCCGCGGTCTGTGGTGACGATTGTAGGAGAAGCACCGACTGTCCGAAGCCTCCTACTGGAAAGGCACAATGCACTATCAACGTATGCTCTATCGGATGCAGCAATGATAAGGTAGACTCAGTTCGCTCCGATACTGGCCTACAGTGGCGTCTTCTCAGGACTGTCCTGAAGGGGGGTTTTGTCTAGATAGCGGGGGCCAAGGGAAGTATTGCTCTTTCCACAACTGATCAACACACAATCATGGATGATCACTCGTGGGCGGTATTTTTGACCCAGGGCCGATGGCCTTACTATTCGGGCCGTCTCTATTTTGTCTATCTTAGCCTCGATTCGTGATAGACTTGATACAAGTGTCTCTCCTCATTCCCTTAGTAGCGGAGCACCACACAAGTTCGTCTTTCCCGTAGACCTCAATGGCAATGAGTTCAGTCTTAAACGGGTTAATCCCGACAACGACGAGGGAGACTCTCCCTCGGAGAGTTCAATATTAACAACGTGTTGGCTAATGATGTCGCCCGCTTTTCATGGAATAGGGACTGTCGACTTAGATGCAACTCTTTGAGGAGCATGAAATATGTTGAAGGGAGTCGAAGAGTAATACAGTGTGGTTTATGTGGAAAAGACTTGACTGCCAGCCATGTAGTCACTTGTGACACTAACGTAGATACAACTGAGCTGCTTCATCGAGCCATGGCTGGGAGAGTAGATGAGAAAAGTTTGGCAGCATTATCCAGAGCCCTCGATGATATTATTCGAAGATTTGGTTTTGACTGCTGATTCAGCAGTGACGAAGCCTCACTACTCCCAGGGTTGTCGATTTCATGGAAATCGCAAGGCCATTTCTGAAATTGAAATTTCATATGGAAATTTCCATGAAATTTGTTTCAAAGGTGGAAAAAAATTTCGCTCCGCCGGATACCGGCGGAGGTCTTGTTTCTCCAAAAATCTCTGCTTGATCTTGTCGAAAAACTACTTCAAACAGAGTTCCCCAGTTTCTCTAAAAATATCAGCCCTGATCTTTTTTACTTCTTCATATGTGAGTGAGTTGTACCCCGGATGAAGCGAGCCTATGAGCGCACTGGTGCTGTTAGAAGTAGTGTCTCTGAGACTCCAGTTCATAGCCGTAGCCAGAGCAACAAGATTCTTATGAAATGATCCCCAGCTTGCACCTTAACCAAGAAGTCCGAAATCTTGAGAGCAAACTTGGGGAGGAATCCTCCCGGAGGATCGCTGTTGGTGCTTGCTGTTGAGGTCATCATAGAATACCTTCGGAGTTTTCGACACTTCTTGGTAGGGGGTGGTAGGCTACCACTGGTACCAGGCCCAATTCGGCCCAGTGTTCACGGCGAACATGGTCCCTTCGACGAGTAGAGTTTTCGAACCCCTGATCCCACCCACACCGGCAGATCAACGTATTTTGGATCTTATCATCAGCAACCCTCTCCTCTGTAACCGTGAAGAATCTTCAAAGGGTTGAGCTAGAGATAAAGACGTCTCTTTCATCGGAGACCACGTCGTCATTCGGCTGATCCAACTTGGGCATATATCAACAAATCTGTGTAGTAGACTCGGATCAATGTGAGTGAACTCCATCCTAACTATAACAGACACTGCTAGAGAGCTACTCTAAGCATTGAACATAGCATACCATGTTGATAGCATGGACCATGTTGAACATGATGTTGTATACCAGCACACATGAAATCACCATGTTGTTAAGCGGTTATGCCATCTGGCGCGCGTCATTTCAATCGATCTCTCTGTGAATCGGTCCTGATCGCGTATGCGGTGGTCAATTCGTTATGTCTTGTATATCGTCTAACTGAATAGTTGTTTTCGGGGCTTTCGGAGCACTAGGGATAAGTTCAATGTCTGTTAATCGTCTTTCTCATAAAATTTCCTTTAAAATATGAAATTTCCACGGGTTGCATTTCATGT